ATCCCAAGAACTGCGCAGTCGGGATCGAATGAAGGATAGGAAGAGAGACTCAATGATGATGATGATGATGATGATGATAGAGACTGCCATTTTTGAATCAGTGCTTGCGAAGCAGTTGTTCCTGGAAAACAAGGCTCGAAACCAAGCTCCCGGCATGTGTTCCCAAGTCCCTGTAGATGCCCTGCAGTGCTTTGATCTTGAAAGTGAAGCTCGGCCATAGCAGGTACGAGCGAGCTACTGGCAGCCGCGCGCGGAGGAAGCTAGCTTCGCGCGAATCAATGCAGTGGTGCGTGCAGCTGAGCCACGCCGGATTGGGGTCATCCCTATATACCCCCAACATACTGTAGTAGTTTCCATTTCATTTTCCATTGTCCCTATATAACCCCCAATATAACCTCACATGCTACAGTAGTGTCCATTTTCTTTTCCATTACCCCAAATCCCCATCAATGTTTAGTAGCAGTGAGCAAGGCAGGTAGGGGATTCCTTCCAAGGAGCCCAGAGACGAACCTCCAACTCTTCACCAAAAGAGTATACTGGGGTTCTATAGGGATAATGGAAAATGAAATGGAAACTACTATAGTATATTGGGTTTATATAGAGATAAAAACTAGAATGGAAACTGCTACAGAAGATGTGGGTTCTATGGAGTTTGGGTGGATTTGGAGGGTCAAGGGCAGCGTACGATGTGTAAGCCGATGCTTCATAGGTTTCTCTATGAGGATCATACTGTGCTTGTGTCATCCCTCCATGTAGTGCCATATTTGCTGAGGCAGAGTATACTTATACATACATACCGTTGTTGCAATAGAAATGGCTTCTACTTTGAGCTACCCACCTCCACGCAAAGAAGAGACCACTGCATGCAATACCCCCACTAGCGCTCTTTTTGAAGACAGAGCTCTTCATACTATGATTGCATGTCAGTTTGGCGAGCCACAATTTGTTGTTGACCCCTGCAGCTGCAAGCGCCAAGGAGCGGGTCGTCGGCGGTCCAACGTCTCCCCGACGCCTGGAGTCTTGCACGGGGAAAGATTTGGCATGTGGGATATTCTTTGGAGTGATGGCCTAAGATCTTCAATGGTTGCTACACAGGTATCATCTCAGTATTTGGGGCGCGGAATCTGGCAAATTGTGGCAAACTCGTTTGGACATGCCTGTCGAGGTCGAACATGTTCGAAACTTACCAGGCTACGTGAGTAGGTTTGCTGGGCTGGGGTAGATTGGCTTAAGCTGCTCCTCAAGGGTCTGATTGCACGCTTTCACGGCCTGATGGGCACCAGCAGGAGAATAGGATCATTGCTGTATAGAGTTTTTAGCAAGAAAGGGAGAGTGCAGCGACATCCGCTCAGAGTAAGCTCAATATTCGGACATGGGAATTGGGTTCCGTCGTTTCAGATTAGAAAGAACGACTGGCATCATGCTTGGTGCAGTTGGCATGCTCACAGCCATATCCTCCGGGCAGTAGTCCAGTTGCGTGAAAAGCGGCTTCGGTGCCCGGAGGTTGTAACCCTGTCTCTACTCATGGAGGTAAGCACAATGGTGAGCACACAAATAAGAAGATGACAAAAACGCGCCACAATGCGGCCGTCTTAATACTTATTAATTTGTTTTCTGGATTTTCCTCAGTTGCCCGCTGAGCAGAAGGTTCAGCCCCTATACCAATTGAAGCACACAGGCACGTAGTCTAGCTCCTGAAGAGTCATCTCCTGTGCCAACAAAGCTACGGCTCTGATACGACTCAACGTGAAACAGGCGAAAAGAACAAACAATGTACACTCTGGCAATGACATTTACCTGTGTTGCCATAGCTGGTATTACCATGATGGTAAACACCACTGACTATTCTCAGCAATACTTGTATCAGCGCCATGGCAGCAAAGAAGATCATTGTTCCCATCCCCCATTACGTTCTATTTGTCATCGCAATCTTTGCTACCTATCGTGCTTGTAGCTATTGTGTCAAGGTACCTATGACCTTGCCGACCTTAGCCTCCGCAAGCAGGTAAACTTGTTCCAGCTTGGCTTGCGCAACAGGAAAAAGCATCAGAATCAGAACCATAAATAGATACAGTCAATGGCTGTTAGCCGCAGGAGCCTGCATGACCCTGTCTACCAGAACCTCAGGGAGTCCCTACAAACCTTTGACCCCAAACCCTAAACCGCAAACCCCGAACCCTAAACCCCAAACCCTAAACCCCAAGCCCTAAACCTTATAACCTATTGAGCACTGCTCTCAGGACTTCGAGGGAGTCGGCGAGTCTCCAGTTGTCCAGGCTTGGCAGGTATGAACAGGATTTGGGAGGCTGACATCTCTGGCACTTTCCCGTACACTCCTGTATAACCTCAGCTTCCATTTTGTACTTGTTTCGATTTGATTTGCAATTTTACATTTGATGCTTCGTGTGACATTGGATTATCCGCGATTCAAATTGTTTAGGCTGCTACGGGAATGTCGCTATCATGTGACAGGCCAGCCCAACAACAAGGGTTTTGCGAGTGCACCTCGCCATCCGGCCATGAGGTGCCCCAAAGAAGGAAAAGGAGCATCAACTAAGGCTCCCAGCCGTCGGCTGATCAGGGATATAGGATCATGGTATCCACTAATCATTTACGCTTTTTTGTTTGTAGCTTTCTTTTGCTGGCCTGACCCACTGACCTTCGCAGGTTCATGATGGCGACGGTGGTACGGGAAGCTGTTCACAACCACAACAGCAGGAGGAGTCTGCGTCTTGGCGAAAGCCTGTTCTTATCCCTCCGTTTAGCGTACCCCAGCGAGATTGCTTCTCCGGCATCCAAAATTGGATTTGGACTGGTCGAGAAGAGAAGTGACAGTGAGGTCATGCGGTATCGAGGATCTTTGCATTAATGGCTTTTGACACATGACCGGTGATGTTTTCAAGCACCACGAGTAAAGAACTCGCGGCCCATGTCTGTCTGCACTGGATCCGGCTGGTGTTTGTTCCTCTTGCACAAGTGGCTTTACGCCCACCGGTACACATTGGCTGTAATCAGAGCCTCCTTGTGCAAACCCGCGGACCTCTTGACAATTTTCTTTGGAGTTTAAAAGAAACTTACGTACTCCTCAGCTACAAAGCAAATAGCAAACCGCTAATGTCGGGTCTTCCGTACTCGAGGTGATGGAAGTGCTGTACAACCGCACGGCAGCTTGGCTTTGTTAATTGGAAATCGCTCAAAAGAATAATCCCTGTTCAACAGGAATTTTGACCGCAGCCGCAGTGGGAATCCAAAGAAAAGTCGAACTGCAACAGGGGACCATGATGCTTACGCTGTCTGTCCCAAACACAAGCATCTCGTCCATGGGAACAGAACACGTGTGTAAATGGCTTTAAGTGGAGGACCCAAACACATTCCTGCAACAGCAGAGGTCAACTTTCGCTTTGACGATCCCTTCTTGCCCTATGTACTCCGAGAGGTGCACTGCCAGCAGCCGCATTTCCTCTTTTCCGCTTGTGCATGTTTATTTGGGTGGTTGTCAAAAATATGAATTATGGTCCTTTTTTGGATCCCTATTAGAATATGGCACTTAATATTTAGGGTACCCAAAAAGGGACCATAATTTTGACAACCACCCATTTGCAGTCATTCAGCATCTTTCAGCCTTGGTTCTGTTTCGACATGATCTTTGTTTGGCAGTTTGCAACAAATAGGTGCCTCTTCTAAGAAGTTCCTACTACAGCGATTTTGAAGTGTCTGGATCTATATTGCAGCCCCCTATTTACAGATGTTATTATGATATACCCAAAGCCATATTCCATCTACTTAAGCGGGACTATAGACCCCTGCCGCCTGAAACGCACGACCCAGGTGATCCATGATCCGGAACACACCCGGCTGCTTCGCTTGTGTGAAGCCGGAATCCCTGCGTGGGCGATTGTGCCTTTACCACATTCACTTCAGCTGGTATAATCACCATCTATCGGCGTCGCTCATTGTTATCAGTTGTTATTGTGTCACTACCTATGATCCTCGATGCGCATTGCAATTGTCTAGCATTCTAGTTAGCTGGGACTTGAGAATTGAACTCTCCAGAAGCTGCTACATGAAAGTACTGGCTTGTGCAGTGGCTTGCCTGGCTTCTTGAAGGAGTCAGTCTTATGCGACTTGATAGTTTGCCTGTATGTGGCTTCGTTGAGGGCAGCATTAGGAGACTACGGCTGCCTCCCGCTGCACCATGATGTAGCGAAGGTGCTCCCAAGATACACTGGCTGCTACCATCGATTCATGCGTCACCTGGTGGCTGTGGTGGTCTTCTTCATCTCCTGCCTCTCCATGCTTTTGGGCTTCTACGACTTGCACCTCTGCTTGCATGCTTTAGCAAAGTGAATGTTGCTGAACTGAATCGGTCCCAACCACAAGTTATCATAGATCTACAAGTTCCAAACTACGCCAGACATGTTTTTTGCTAGTTACAAGTTTGCAGCGAAGCTTGGAAGCCAAGTCAGACGGCTGGTTTGAGTCGGTTTCAAGAACTCGTTACAGCTCGCAGATACAGTGATGGGGGTGTCTAGAGGAAGTACCTCGGTGTTGGCGAACAAGCATCGTTCGAACACCTGCCGGAATGAGGTAAATTTGCTGCTTAAGCCTGTCACTGAACCCACAATTTTAAACATGTAGTGTAGGATTGCCATGGTTTCGTTTGGTGTCAAGTTTCGCACGCCCAATCGTCACACTCTCGGGACACTGCCCAAATCCATGCATATCATGGAGATCTATGAGCCCGCCATGGCCGCCATGACATATAAGCAGCCCAGCCAGTTGACCGCCTGACTGCATGAGCTTTCATGAAACCAGTTGCCGACCCTGATATATCCTAGCATTAGCAAGGTAGACCCAAGCGTCGGGCTTTCGCGTGACAAGGTGCGTGAGTCATTGTTTGAGACAAGTTGGGCACTTGGTGTTGCACACAATTTACAGGCATAAATGGTCGAGGACATACGAGCAGTTTTCAAACGGCCCCGAAAACGTAAGTAGACCAGGTACAAGCGCATCCCAATCGTCCGGTCACTGCTGAAGCAGTCGCTTGGTCCGCTGAGCCAACGACTGGAAGAGCTGGTGGTAGTTGCTTGGCGATTACTCAATTAACGAACGTCGAAGGGATGAGAAAATGGAAGATCAGATAAAAAGTAAATTGGAGCTTATGGTGTATGATGATGGGTGTCCTGATAACCGTTGCTACTACTTGCAGTGCTGATGCTTGCAGACTTGCGGTAGCAGACGCGTGGTGCTGGTGGCGGTGGTAGTGGTAGTGGCAGCAGTAGTCTGGTAGTAGTCACGGCTATGTAGTAGTAAGAGCAATAGCAGTGCTTGCATGCTGCTTTTGCTTGTGCTACTACTGCTTCTGCTTCTGCTTCTGCTTCTGCTGCTGCTACTGCTGCTGCTGCTACTACTACTACTACTACTGATGCTGCTGCTACTACTACTACTATTGTTATTATTACTTATTACTACTACTTCTACTTGTACTACTACTACTTCCTGTCTCGTATGACTATTCATGATGATATTGTTGTTGCTCCCTCTACTGCTGTTGATAAACATCCCTCCACGACGTTAACGGGTTCCAACGCCAGGCTCATCGTTTAGGTATAAAGTGTAGAGTTTACTCATCCCATTTGTAGGTTTCCTTTCTTCCCAAGAGACAACTGGATTTGTATTTACCTTGAGTTCGATGTGGTTGACCAGAGGGGGTCCCCAAGGTCTCTGGCCCATTCCGGGCCATGGGTAGGGTTTAGGGTTTAGGGATTTAGGTGTGGTTTAGGGTTTTGTTATGAAACTCTCCCCATTGAACATCCCTCCACCCAAGCTGGGTTCGGCCCAGCTTCGGCGCAAAATAGATGACAACGTCCGATGCAACCCCCCCATCCTTATAGAGGTGTGATGATCGTTGAATGATGGTTATGCTCTTACGAGCAGGTTGATGCACTAGTCTCAAACCAAATTTTCCCGTTTTTGACCAAAGTGGGAACCTCGCGTGGCAAAGCTGCGACCTCAGGTGCGCTTGTCAGTGCTTTTGGGATGGTTTCTGCCCTACAGCATCATTCTGCGAAGAGCAAGGGACGCTCTACAACTCGTCTGTGACTTGGCAGGGTTTGGGGGTCAAAGACTGCGAGAGGCGACAATAGTAATGCATAGAAAGGCCCTCCCACTGTACACGGACTAGGGGGGTTTTAAGGACCAGGGGTGACCATCTGGGGGCTTGACCAGACAATAGTCAGCTTGCCTTGAACGAGTGCCTTTTGAAATGGGCGCCTCATCACCGCTACATGATTGGCGCCTTCCTTGTTGAGCCCTATCTATATACACCATATAGAATCCCTAGACATTCCTATATAGTTCATCTATGTACATATTTATCCCGATATAGGGACAAATTCCTATAGAATCCCTGTATATAACAACATATATATGTACATGTACACACCCCTCATACCTCTTTAGCTTGTCCACTTCAGGCTCCGGCCTCTGGCTCCTGGTCTCGTCCCTCGCCTCGCCTCTGGCCTGGATTCCTTCGGTGGCCTCGGCGCCTGTGGAGGCAGCCACCTCCGCCTGGCGGCGGCCCAGCTGGGGCTGAAGCTATTGGGGTGGTTGTCTAAATTATGGTCCCTTTTTGGGTCTCTATTATAATACGGCACCTAATATTTAGGGTACCCAAAAAGGGACCATAATTTTGACAACCACCCATTGTGTTTTGAGGGCGTTGAACATTTTGGAGGTTCACTTCCTGCAGGGTGCTATGCGTGGGTTAGGGGGTATGCGTGGATGAAGGCCAGCGGCTATTCAGGGTTCACACCATGCTCTCGCTTTTTGATTTGCGTTGGGACGCCTGAGCCAAGAGACCTTCCCAGGTTCTTCGTGCAGATCATTGGAACCGTGGCCCGAGTCGCTTCTTCAGGCGCCTCGGTGTGCTGTCAACCCTCGTCTGGGGTTCCCTTTGGCTGAGAGGTCCCATCCCATAGACAGATAACTTTCAGATCCTGGTCGCAGGTGCTCATGGCATCAGCCCAGCACGTGCGGAATTCAACTTGGCGCGGCAGGCTTCGCGAAATAGCCCGGCGTTGAGAGGATTGAGAGGACTTGCGGAGTTACGGGTTCAGAGCTACTGTTTTCAAAGGCTTGGGGTTTTAATTTTGTTTGGGCGTTTGGCTTCCGGCTACAATGTATATATCGGTTGGCAGTAGCATCATGAAGGCAACCTCGAATCCTGAATCGTAAGCTTCCTAAACCTTGCCTACATCCTGGAAGCCGTTATTAACCTTACACCTAAACCTAGCGAAGGCCTTCATGAGCGTCTACAATGGCACCAGCTTCCTGGGGGCGACAGTTGCCAAGCACCAGGCCGGCTTCGTCTCCAGCCATCCTTGGGAGCATCTAAGAGCTGGACTTTCAAATACCCAATAGGGGTTAGGGGTTTAGGGTTCAGGGCCCTATAATGGAGAATCAAATGGAAAAGAAAATGGAAAATGAAATGGAAACTGGGGTTATTTAGGGTTCATATTAAGCATGTCGGTAGCCTACAACCCAAGACCTGAACCCCCCACCCAAAGCTCCATCATTCCCAGGAAGTTTTCTGTGCCTGGGTCAGAAAGCCCTCATCCTAGGGAACCTACTAAATGCTCCAATACATACTCCGAAAACTCCACCACCATCACTTATGGATTCTTTTTATCTCGAAGCTGGTCAAGTCGCCAGGCTTCCATCCGGGTGTCGTGTTCGCGGTGCCACCACGGACTGCGGCGGCAGCTTGCTCATCTTTCACAAGGAAGGTTACGGAGGCATGCTTAGGAACAAAGGTTCAAGGACTTTTATGTTCTGTAGTCTAAACTCCTTAAAGGGATCTATATAGGGGATTATATAGGGGAGTATGAAGGGGTTACGAACGGGATGCTAGGAATTGAAACTCAAGGTCATATGGCTTAGGGTGCACGAGCCCTAGCTTCAGGTGTCTGGGTTCCAGCCGCCTCGTGTGACATTCATAGCAGACGATACATTGCTTACTTCCCTACACCTTCAAGCCATTAAGTGGACTTCTCTTACTAAACTCTATAACCCTGTATACCCCATTATAACGTAGTAGTTTCCATTTTCTTTTTCATTATCCCTATCTAACCCCAATATAGCCCCTATATAGCCACACCCAACTTCCTGGGAGGCCTTTGCTCGCTGCGACGTCCTGCGTGGCTTTGTGGGCTTTATGGCCAAAGAGAGCCACCAAAGTAGCAGATACCTGGATTGCATTCAGTTGCCCCGAGCTTCGGTGTTTTAGGATTTGGGATTCGTGGCTTGGATCATTTGACAGTGGGTGGCCTTGGATTGTTGGGGTCTTGAGAGCTCGTGGTCTTATCTTGTTGAACACAGTCGTCGCTAACATGGCGTCATGCCTGTGCTAGATGCAGGCTCTCCATCCCTCCTTGCGTAGTATATAGCTGTGAGATAAGTTTTACAGACAGGTTTCGTCTCATCAGGCACCCCCGAATGGAGCACCATGTAGGATTCTATTTTAACCACGACGGCCCCCCCTCGAGGTTCATAGAGCGTAACTTTGCTCCTCCGTATACTTGCCAAAGGGCACTGCAGGAGGTTGAATAGATGCTAAAGGAGAGAT